GTTTAGAAATGTTCAAGTTTTCCCACTCCTTGCCTCAATAGACAGTGAAATAAATTGCTTGATTTTCATCTTGGCATTTCAGTCCCAAATACTTTTGCCCTTAAAAAAGGAGACTATGGAAACTTGCCAATGGAACAACAAGGGTTTACCATCCAACATCTGGATATTGATAACCTTTGGTCTTTGTTGCCTGCCTGGGACTGCCAAAACCTGGTGTTTTCAAACTTCTAGCACGTGTCAACATTTGGTTGATGAACTGTATTCAGCTTCAGCAAACTGCATGGTTGCTTTACAGTAACACACAAAGTTTTCTAACTTTCTATATCCAACAGTTGCACTCAGCTGGAAAAGCTTAGGTGGGACACACAGCATTCCTGAACACAGAAATGGGTACTGTTGCACCATTTGGTGTGCCTCTATGTGTATATAGTTAAATACTTAAAAATTTAAAAAATGAAGTACGAAGTAACCCACAGTTTGAGTCATCAGAACATCATGCAGATCCCAGTTTTGGTGCTGGCTGCAAACATATTTTGTAAAAGCTATTGTATTTCCACTGGGACCATCAATACTTCTAGAAAATGCAACCATTTTAGTTTTCTAGCAGCTGCCCATTTGTCTGTGTTTATCAGGAATTCATTGTAGGCAAAACCAAATGGGAGAGGCATGTGAAGGTCTGTTTGTTCTTGACCAGGTTTTTGTTTTTGTTCCTCTTTATTTCGCATGGCTGAATATTCATATATGAAGAATCTTTCTTAAGAGCAGCATTTCTTCCCTTTGGAACAGAAAGCAACATCTGTTTCCTTGGAGAATCCATCCAGGATAAGAACACAAACGTAGCCAAGTTCAGGTTTCAGTAGCGAGAGCCCTTCCTGGGTTTTTGTTTGTTTGTTTTGCCTTGCTTCCCCCAAAAATCTTGCTTTTACTGTACAAGGCATCTAACCATTATCCTCCTTGTTTGAGGGTGAAGGGAGAGAGTTAATGTTTGTATGCCGCATTAAACAAGATGAGAAGATGCACCTGTACCATGAGCTCCTGCCTCATTCGGGAATGCATTGTATATCTTTGCAAACTAAATACGTTTAATCAAATATTTAAGTTTTTTTTTTAATTCAAATTGCAAAAGAAACAGACAGTCAATTGTTTTTCTGCATGATCTTCCTTGTCAGGCACCCTCTTTGCATCTCAAGAAAAATAGCCTTGTTCAGCCTCGGGGCATTTGCATAGAGAATATTGAAGCACAACAGTAGATTGTTTTTATTGTTTTTGCTGTTTTAGCACATTAAGACTCTCTTCCCAGGTGAAGACCCTCCTTTTTCCTGTCTCTCTTCAGAAAGGTAGTCTTCTGAGCAACTTTCAAAGTCAGACCAACAATTCCTTTTCCAAACTGAGGCTGTTTCTGCCGAGTGGTCAAACAATCTTTAATGAATTGCAGCATTTTGATCAAAGTGGTTTTTTTCTGACCAAAATAAAAGCACGACAAATATAAGCCTTCCACACAGCACACACGGCTGTTGGACTAAATTGAGGGTTGATTGAGTTTAGCATGATGGCATATTATTAATCTCCATAAAGATATAAAACATCACCCCCTTAAAAATTTGAAGATATCTCCATAAAAGCAGGTAACGTGTATTGGAAGTACTTCTCTGCCATTAAGAGTCGTATTTATTTTTTTATCGTGACTTTTCATTCGACAGGTACCCATGGCTAGGGGGGCGGGGGGGAACTCTAAGAGGATTTAAAAGAGGAAAGGATAAAAAATAAAGACCTCTTCTCAGAACCATTCTGACAAGGATGCTTCCAGGCCAGATAAAATCCAGCTGCTTAATGCCCTGTGCCCCACCCCGAAATATTTCATACCAGCAGGAACAATCTGTATTTTATACTTTTATATGGAAAAGATGAGCTGAAAAAACACACACACATAACATGTGTCTTCTCCCTTTATTATTTCCGTACTTCCTGTTCCTCACATCTCCCTTTTTGCTGCTGCTGTTTGAAGCAGAGCTGCATTATGCGTTGTAAATTGATAACACCCAGATTCTCAGGTTGTTTGAACACTGTTTTAGGTTCAGCTGCAGTACACAGTTTCTCTGATCTTTTTTGTTCCTGAGCAGATGTCTTTCATTAATTTATGGATTTATCATCTTTTCTTTTCTTTTGCCCTCTTCCCCCCCTCTTCTTTTTTACACCTGGCAGCTGGCTCAAGTTTCGGCAGTTATTGTCTATTTTGCATTGCACATAGAATTGAATGTCATCTGTCTTCACAAAGCTACGGTGAGGAGTGCTGAGGCAAGCCACCTCAGCTGTCGGGGCAGAGCCTGCTTGCCTTTATTTGCCTTCTCGGCCTCCCGCCCGCTTTGCCTACCTCTTCCCTACCCTGCCCCCACCCCTTTTTACCTCCTTAATATTTATTTGTGCTCATTTTCTTTCCTGGCCTTGAATGGAGCTTAGCTCGTGTTCAGTACAGCTGTATGTTTACTGAATCTATTCCATCATGAGTCATTGTGCGTGTGTAAGTATCCTGGAAACAGCCAGTGCTTTCTTGGAAGAACGGCTGCTTTTCAGCACAAGCACTTAAAAAGAAAATTAACCAATTGGTCAGCTCAGTTTTAACAAGGGGGTCCTCTCACTACTAGCCCCTTAAGTGTTTTGCTATCTCTTTTTAATAGTTTCCATTAGGGATGCTTTTTAGCAATAATCTAATCTTTGAAACAAAGCTGCGTGTGTGTAGGGGGGACAGTATATTAAGCCTGCATTAAGAACAATAGGCAAGGTTTGTGGGGAGCAAAAAAAGAAGCCACAAATTGAACTTCGAAATGATCATGCATTTTCTGTGAGGTTTGGTGATTATACTGTACAGACTGAAGCTTAGCTAGTCCTCTGGACAATGTCTTGGACTAGCTTGTGCAGCCTTGAAGGCCACTGGCTAACCTTGGGCCAAGAAACATCCCACTGCCTAACCTACCACACAGGGTTGTTGTGAGAATAAAATACAGGGAGAACCTCCACACCACCCTGGGCTCCTGGCAGGAAGGGCAGGATACAAATGCAAATGAAAACAATAAATGTAATAGGCTTGATAAATAATCAGGGATCTCTCCTTGCTCTTTGGACCTGCACAGAAGTTCCCAAAAAATATGCCCGCCCTTGTCGTGTTCACTGCTTCATAATTATCCATCCTTAGGATTTTCTTATGAGGATTTAGGGTGTCAGTGTATTTGTGTGCATGGACGTGAGTATACCAGCACCATTACATAACAAAATAGATTTCTGTTGAGAAGTTTCGACTTGTCTAAAACTCTTATTGCTACGCAGTAGGTGACAGCCTGTGACTATTATTTCACTTATGCATTTTGACAGATGGCAGCATGGAGTGTAATGCTCTTTTAGACTTCTCTATCAGTTTAATGGAGGTAACTGGAGGTTCTTTCAACTCTTCTCTTGGCACAAGAAGTATGTCAGTCATAAATTATCTTCTTTGTAATCATTAAGCATCTAAAACAAAAATGCAAGTTCAGCTGAGCAGTTTGTAGAGCGCTTACATAAATTAAAAGCTTTAAACCGTAACGTTTTCTGTATCCTTTTAGAATTGAAAGTAAACCATTTTTCAGTATTTTATGTGTAAAAATAAATACATCTTCCCCCTCCCCCCTCAGTATACTCATGAACAAATTTTAAGTGTTCGTATTTGCTACCGGAGCTCTGTTAAAAAGGTTGTTATCCAAAAGAGCAGATCAAAAGCAGTTCTAAAGAAATTGGGATGTCTCTGTCTTGGTGCTTGCCACGTCTTTATATATTTTCACCATGCTGTTAGGCAAAGCTGCTTCAGTTTCTGGATCATTTTGAACTTGGTTGACCTTTCTCTACCATAACCAACGCTATTTAATAAGTGGTGTGTATGTTGACTGTCCTTAAAGGAAACAGTTCTCCAAGAAACTATTGGAGGCTCTCTTAATTGACCTTGTAGAGACCACATTGATTTTTGTCACGTGCATCTTCATTTCTGATGAATTATAAAGCCATTAATTTGCAGAGGAAATGGCAGGGCCAGCCTGCTGCACAGATGTGACCAAAATGGCCCTAGCAAACAGTACACAAAAGAGTGCCAAGGAGCCAAGGGAAGGCGGGGGAAACCACCAGAATGCAGGGATTGTTATGGTTAGCTTCACATTCCCTTGGGAAGTTTTCTGGTCGTTTCTGTTTACAGACCTGAAAGGTAATGATCTTTGCAGGATAAATAGATCTCCTTGTAGGGTAAGTGATCACGTATAGATCAGCTTATTTCTACCTATTGATATTTTTATCCCAAAATACACTGACAGGCTGGGAGTGTTGGCACTTTATAAGGCAAAGGTTCTTGGGCTGGCTTTGTTTTTGTTTTGATTTTAACAAGAGAGATTTTAAAAACCCCTTTTTGTATTCTTGAGTTATTGGAGTTAATACTATTGTTCCCCCAGACTATGAAGAACAAGGTGCAGTTTACTTTAGACAATGAAAATCCTTTCTATCTGTGTGCTTAACCTAATTTGATATGTGAATGATGTGATGCTCCAGGAAGAATGCATGAAATTGTAGCTGCAAAAAGGAGGGGAGAATCTTAAACGCACATGTTTTATATATTTGTTTCCTTAGCAACAAGTGAGTACATATGTAGTGTGTAAACCTCATACCTGCAAAATTTCTGCCACCAAGGCCCAAGAAACAAGATGCCCAATCCAGAGCATATTTAGTTAGGAGCAGGTCCTGCTGTGTTCAATGGGAATTGGTCCCAAGGAAGTGTGCATAGGATTGGAGCTTGAGTTCTGTAAGTGATGCAGCAGCACATAACCAATTTCTTCCTTCCTAAGTAATTGCAGCTCCAAGGAGCAGCAAATTGAATGTTAATTTGTTGGTCCATCCTAGAAACACTCTTCTTCCAAAAGGACTTTGCTAGCCTTGAATATCGAGAAGCAGCTTTCAAGCAAAACATTTTTCCTTAACTAATTTCATCCTACATGCAGGAAGGTTTGTCGCCTAACCACTTGAAAAAGGCCAAGCTCATGTTCTTTTATACCCGGTACCCAAGTTCCAATATGCTGAAAACATACTTCTCAGATGTAAAGGTAGGAAAAGCCCTCTTATTTTTTTTCTTCTTTCCCCTTGTCTTGACTGCATGTTTGAATGCTTCTTTAATTTTATTTTGATTTCACTAATAATATATCTTGGCAAGCTCTCATTAACTTTTTTTTAAATGAAGCTAGCTTAAGGTCTGTGATTGAGTCTTTAAAATTGCATTTCTCTCTTTTTGTTGTATTTCTGTCTTCCCATCCACTACCCTTAGCTACAATGTGAACATTTCTTTTTTTAAAAAACCACAGTAATTTTTTTACGCAATTGGATGGCACAGTTTTGCATCTGTGAAATTTCTACTGGTGGCATTAGTGTACCATCCAAGAGCATTTTGGAGAGCAGTTTGAACAGCGCTCCTTCAATTGTTCCATTGCAGGCGTGTTCCTCATATTCTGCTTACATTAGTGCCCACTGTAGAGACCCCTTTTTCTTTCCATCAAAAAAGAAATGCTACATTGAAATTCTCCATGCAGTTGCTGCTTAAAAACAAAAGTGATGATTGTCTCTTATTTACAACTTAATTTGTTGTTGATGCAGAGTACACTGAACATAAGGAGGATGAATAAACTGACAGATTCAGGCCACATTATTCAAATGAGGATATGAAAGCTGTCGACTTACAGCTGCATCCTCCCCTCATTCTACAGAATATTGGGACCTCCTGATTTTTTTCTAAAGTAATTGTTCCTTCACATCAACTTGATTTTTTTGTGTTAATCATCTAAGGTTTTTTTTTTAAAAAAAAAAAACCACAGACACACACCCTAGTTTGGGTTCCAATTATTATAATGACATACATGGTATCATTTTGTAAGCCTTTAAAAATAAACATCACATTAGTTTAAATTTGCTGTGTTAAAATTCTTCCCATCCTGCCTCTTCCTCCCCCCACCAAACAAACTTTGTCCACATTCCCACCCCAGAAAAAAGTACATCCTGCTCTAGCGTTGTTTTTAGGTTGTGCTCCATCTACAAATGGGGACACTAGTTATTCCTCTCATTTTTCCTTTTAAAAAAATGGCCTTCTGAATTTTTTTTCTTCTTTTAAGTTTTGCATTGCACCGAGTAGTTTCTATTTAATAATGCATCAACACAAATTTTGAGTTTATACCCTCACAACCATCACCAGCCCGCTTAATAGACAATTTTTTCCCCTCTCATTCTTTGTGCTACGTATGTCTGTGGGTGGTGGTTTTCTCTTTTGGTTTTGGTTTTGCATGGTACACACATTCAACGTATTTTGGCCAACTAACTAGAGTTTCTGGAGAAACTGGATTTGCAGGCTGTGCTAGTTCTCTGCAAACCAGTTTGGCCAGAAAGCCAGAAAAGGAAGCAAGTGTGGGGTGTGGAGGCGGGGGGGGGGGGGGGGCAGTGAATGTGTGTACTGTTGTCAATGACTGCCCTACCATCGGCTTGCCAAGTCTCTGAAAAATATATCATCCAGTTGCAGCCTCTGCCTAGTTAATAACCTGTCTGAATGGGCTAAGGAAAAGCGGTGCTTCCGTGGTACTCTTACCTGCAAGGCAGCAATGCAAAGGATTGCTGTGGAGACTTGGGAGCCCTTGGTGCAGCTTGACTACAGTATGGCTTGAGAGAATCTCATGAGGGGTTCTCTTTATGTTCTCTTCTCTAGTGGATGCTAATGCAAACAGCTATATAGAAAAAAGTCTCACTAGTATGTAGTGCCTGTTGTCTTTTTCAGCATGTGACAACTGATCTCGGTCTTCTTATGATGTTGCCAAGTTAATCTGAAATATTTTGATGTTATGCCACCTTATATTTATATAGCATCATTCCTCCAGAAGAAGCCCAAAGTGCTTTACAAACAGCCAATATAGGGATCATTCACCCACCACTGAAAGGCAGCCACTTCCGTGGTGGAAGGCAACAGCCATTCGGGGTCAGCAACATCACACACCAGTAGATGTAAATATTAGATACATTCCTCTTTTCTTGGGGAAAGGGTTGGGAGGTGGGTTTCCATGCTGATACTTTTGGAATGCTTGATTTCATGGGTAACAGTTCATGGGTAAGGTCAGCTTCTACTTTGACTTGCTCTGCTGATTTGACCAGACCAACCATGTGATCAAGGCTGGGTTAATATTTATGTGAGGGAGAGTAGAGAATAGAACATTGTGGAAGTTGTGCACATCATTATTTCTCTCTCTCTCTCTCTCTCTCTCTCTCTCTCTCTCTCTCTCTCTCGTGTGTGTGTGTGTGTGTGCTTGCTTAGTCTTCTCTTTAAATTCAGTAGTGAAGAAGATGAAAGATGGCTCTTTATCTTAAAAAAAATAGTCCACCTGCTTGGCGAGATGAAATCTTAAAATTCTAGAAACCTTGTGAAAAGCTCAGTAATGTTGGACATCAGCTAAAGTGCAAGAAACTGGTCAGCCCATTGATCTTTTTATAGCCAGCTCTTGTTAAGTGACCATATAAGGTTGAGGTGAGAGCCTGTGGTCTTCCGGATGTGCAGGTTGTCCCTGACCATTGGCTGTGTTGGCTATGGCTTGGAGTCTGACAACAACTTCAGGGCCACACATTTCGCCCCCTGCCGTAAGGTCCTGGAGCCTGTTCGTTTTGAGCCCCTCTACCTAAGATGCTTAAATTCCAGGGATTGAACCTGGGATTTTCTGTGGGAAAGCTATCTGAAGGTGACAGGCACAGGGCAGAGCAGAAAAGGTGAGGGACTGGAGGGATTTGCAAGTAGGTGAGGGACTGGCAGAAAGGCCCGGAGATGGCTTTTGAATGGGGTTTCCTGGGCGTAGGGGCAGAGGACGTTTAGAAGAGAAGAATGAGTCTCAGTGGCTTGATTCAGGGGACCTGTTTCCTTTATCTTGGCTTTGCATGGGAGAAAAAGAACATAGATTGGTCTGGGCAGTTGACAAAACTTATTTCCATGTAGCAGCATCTGAGCAAATTCCCTGGCTCAGCATATTTTATAGTACTTCATTTACCAAACCATTTTAAACAATGTTAATTTTAAAAACATTTAACTAAAAATTAGTAGAAAGTATTTTTAAGTCTTAAAATGATTGCAGTTGAATGTCTACTCTTACAAGGAAATCATTCTGATCTATGCATGAGCAGAATGTTATAGAGCACAACATGTAGTCTTCTGGATCATAGCTGTTGCAACAAACAGGATTTTATTCTTACAGAATTCATTAGCACTATATCAGTGTAAGCATTCAATACAGCACTTTTTAAGTATTTATCATTTCTATCAGCACTTAGTCAAGACATAAGAAAGTGAAGCCCAATGGAACTAAATCTTTGAATTTAAATTAAAATATGGTAGTAAAATTAGACCAACACAGAGAAGTCCTTGTTTGCCTGGCATTCCAATATTGCCAGTAATCAAGAGCAAAACCAATGTTTTATGCCTTTGATTATGTAAATATTTGTATTTTCTGGGAAAGAAAGAACTCTTGAGAAGTAACTACAATGGGGGCAGACTCTTCTATCTAAATAAATAAATAAATAGAGACAGATGTGCCATGGCAAATATGAAATCTTTCTATCATATTAACTGTGGCTGTAAAAGCCAGAGCAAACATTAATTTTACTGCAGTCAATGGGCAGGGTTCAAGGAGGCATGGACTGAGGTTCCATGAACAGCAGTTCCTGTCCATCCTCCAGGGCCCTTTTTGCCTCCATTCCCTGCTCCACACCTTCTCTCCTGAAAATGAAGCAGTTCTTTCCGAGTAGCCCCAAAAGCAGCAGGAGTAGTTCAAGCAGAATGCCTGAAGAACACGCAAGGGCTCTTTGGATCCCAGCCCATGCCTTGCAATGTATCCTAACGCATTGTGCAATAAATATACAAAGTACAATTCAGTGTTCTCTACTGGTGCTATACTGGTCTTATTCTCAAGGCAATCTGCATTTACAGAAAGCCAATTTAACTTTTTTAAAAGAAATAATAAAATAGTTTATATCCACAGATGAGCTTAAGCACATTTATTTGGAAATAAAGCCAAACTGATTTCAGTGGGCCAGGTGTGTTTAGGTAGATGCACTAAAATTCCCCCTCTAATTTCAATAGATCACATACATGAATTTCACTTCCCAGTATTCCAACCTTGCATTTGTCATCTATTATGATCTTACTTTATTTTAAGGAGCTGCCAATAGTAGCTGAAAAGGCTGCAACCGTAATATTGGCTCGAACTTGGAAAAAAAATCCCCCATGTTTGTGTTGTGGAACAGAAAAAGGATTCTCCTTGTATCATCTTCTTTCGCTCCACTTGATGCCTATTTTAATGTATAAGCTAATAATTCTTAGACTACTAAATACAACAGATTCAGTGTCATTTTAGCTTTGAAGAACAGGCGCGTCCAGGCTTTTCAACCCAGCAGTGTTAAATGATGTATCTCATTCCCTCCACCCCTTGAGTCAACTGCTGCCTAGCCAGATTAAGGTGTCAGATTGATTTGTTTTATACATCTTTTGACCATGCTCATTGAATATTTAGGAAGTTTCTTCAGCCCATATTGAGGCTGAGGTATCCCGTGGGAAGCATTAATCAAAGTCACAGAGACTCTTACACTGTGGAAACACAGACTCTCTATTGTAGCGATTAGTTTTTGCAGTAACACATTAACACAGTGCAGAGCTTTTCTTTTATAGAACAATTGATCCTTTTCTTGTACTCCTCTACAGAAGTGGGGGGGGGGGAATAATTAACTCTTTAAAGTTGGCAATTTAAAAAAGACTGATATGTCCACACCAGAATGTTGAGGTAAAAGAGGGCAATATGTGAGTGTGTTTGTGTCTTTCACGTGTGTTTGTATGTGTGCAGAATTAATTCACTTTTCAAATGATTCTACACTATTCAGGCTAGACAGTTTTGTTCCTTAAGTGTTTATGTATGTCATTTTTGCATGTCTTATGTTTTTGTCCACACTCTTTTGTCTCCCTCCTCCTTTCTTTTCTCCCTGTATTCTCATGTTGCAGCAATAAGCATTAAACCTCTCTTTATGTCCTATTGCTAAATAATGACATGTGCACCTACTTTTTGTTGTTGTTGTCCACATTAGGTCATTCATGACCATTCTAGAAAAAAAAAACCTTTCTATTTTTCCCCTCTACAGTATTCTTGTCCATATGAGACAATGTCTTGTAACAATGCAGGAGCCTAATCTCCATGTCAAAGCAATTTTCATTCCCCAGTGCACACCCTGCTATCATTTTGTAATGTTTTGTTTCTTATTCTAAAAGAATTAAAAAGGAACAGTAAGCTGTCACGGGGGCCTGTAGTCCTTATCTCAGTGTCTGGAAATTTGGACAGTGTATTTTACTGCTGAGATAAAATGGAAAGAACTCCAAGTTCAGCAAATCGTAATGGGTTTAAGTTCTATTGAAATCGGTAACCAGAAGATCAGATAACGGGGGTCCTTCAGTTGTCTTTTTAATCAGGTTCCCCGCAAGGGCTGAATAGAGACAGAGCAGACACACAGAGTGAAAATATAATTCTTGGATAGGTTAAGTACATGTTTGAACTCTTGCAAGCAGAAGCGATTTGATGATGACTTAATCATTTTCTGGTCAATTATCTGTAAGGACCCTTGCAACTGCATGGCAATTATGATGCAAGTTGGCCTTTTGGGAGAAACACCAGTCTCCCTGCTTCTGTTTTCTTGTTACTTAAATTCCCTGCCATAAATTTTCATTCGTTTATTATCTTTGCTAGCATGGAAACAACTTTCTGTGTAGTAATTACAGCCCCAGTGCACACTTTAGCTGTCATCTTGTTGGAGGCCTGGATGTTCTCATGGCCAGCATTTGATAAGTGTTCTTTGTTGATTTTTGATTAATGCACATCTCTTTCTGGGGGCCCGGGAAGTGAATGCCTGTGATGACAAAAGGCAGGGGGTAGTATATCAGCTTGCCTGATATATAGCTATGGATTTATTGGTTTTAACTTGGCAAGTTGAGTTGCATCTGTCCTTTACACATAGGAGGAGTTGTCAGTAAAAGGGTATCAGCTGTAACATAGCCTAGATGACATCTTCAGTGCAAAGGTCATAGGAAATAGTAAGAAAACTTGTCCTGAAAGATGTGAACACTTTTCACCTTGACCTCCTTACTCCTTTTAGAGCGATGTGGCACTTGTCACCCCATCGTATAGATGAGCTTGCAAAACTTTACATCTGTCGAACAGAATGGCAGGGATTAATTTGATTGAATATGATAAGCACTGCAAGTTCAGGCAGAGCACAATGTGCATCTCATTTCTTCAAACACAGAGTGGACAACCTGACAGGAGGGCCAGATTTTCTTAAGATATATGTATTATAATATAAAAGAAAAAGAAATTATTTTAGCTTGACATAGAATTACATAGAAATGTAGCATCTGATCTATTTGGTGTTGCCACGGATTCAGTAACAGTCCATAGATTACTGAATCAGCTATACCGCATGCCCATAAATTCTTTCTAAATAGAGTTTGAACTTTAATTCATGGGAAATAAGTGTAATGTAAAAAGAAATTAAGTGCTTTCCCCCACATCATGTGCATACTTCCTTAAGCACCTATCCACAATGGGTTAGTAAAAATTACCATTTGCAACAATAACTTCAGCCGCACACCTCTTACAGCAGGCAAAATAAGTTTGAACAATGCTGGAAAAACCTGGGCACCTGCTAAGAGCCCCTAGAATTCTGATACCAACGCCTAGATATCAAGAAATAATCTCCATGTCAGCTTCTGCTTCTGTAGAAGAGTAGTGCGCTGTGTAGCAACTTTAGGAATGAGATTCAGATCAATACCATACTATTTATATTAAAGGTGCAATATTTTAATGTCATCTGACTCAACCTCTTATACCTCCTTATCCCTCAGGTTTAAAAGCTTTGAAGATGAGCTTGGTGAGGGTGGGAGAGAAAGAGGGGCAGGAATGTTATGAAACGGGGAGGAAAGGGAAGAAGCATCAGCAATCTAATCCTTTTTCCTCTTTACATTTTAACAGTTCAACAGATGCATTACCTCTCAGCTCATCAAGTGGTTCAGCAATTTTCGTGAGTTCTACTACATTCAGATGGAGAAGTATGCACGTCAAGCCATCAACGATGGGGTAACAAGCACTGAAGAGCTGTCTATAACCAGAGACTGTGAGCTGTACAGGGCCCTCAACATGCACTACAATAAAGCAAATGACTTTGAGGTACGCACTGATCTTTCTGTTCTCCCCTCTACCCCCCTCTGTGCATGTGTATAATTGAAACCTTTCTTCAAAAAATACCCTACATTTTCACTTATCTCTTCAAACTACTCATTTGATTCAGCTCACTTTGTGAATGTCATTAATGGAACTTGTGATATGAAAAACAAGTCTAGATAGCATGCCAAATCAAAAGCTGGACTCTGTATCTATAGTCACCTGTTCAGTTCAGGTTTGTTTGTATCTTTGCTACTTTTCAGCTTGAAAGTCAGATTTATGTACTACTGTAGGGTTGGATCCAATGGTGTAATTTTATGATGGAGTAATTCCTCCTCTTCCTCTCTGCAGCCCTCCATGTAACCCCCAGAACTGCTGTGGGGGCCTGGGAAACTATCTGGGCAAGCTTTTCAGATGGTGTGTAGCTACTTGGGGAGGAGAGAGGGAGAAAGTCCCATGGTGCTGGCAAATGTCTAGCACAGCATTGGATTTAACCCATTGTTTCCTGAAGGGACACTTTAGGTGAGCTTTATGTGCAAGTGATTATTCCATAAAATGAACTCAGCAGAGGCTTGTCCTGCATAATGTCTCTGGATTGTGAGCCATGGATTGGCAGCTTTGATCGGAACTGTTCCTTACAGGCCTGCAATCAGCAAGTATGAGCGAACACTGAGGCAGCAGCTCGGCAAACTATTGTTGCTAACCTGCTGACCTTCTGTAATCCCACAGTAGCAAATTCCTCAGTGCTGATGATAGCATTTTGTACTGTCCAGCTGATCAGATGCAGAAATGGGGTGAGAGGGGCTTTTGGGAGTTGTCACTCCATGGCATTGAAGTCTTGTGGCCATACATTAGTATTATCTACTCAAAGGATGAGCAATATTGTTTCACAGAAGCTGCACAATAGGGTGGTCAGAAGGGTGACAAGGTTTCTGCCTCTTTCCTGAAATGAGTATTATGTATTAGGTGTAAATCTTCTCTGAAGCATTTCCAAAGTGAGTGCCATTATTGTGCTAGCAAAGTGATTCAAACAAAAGTGGGCACCAAGATTATAATGCAGATTTCACTTGTCCTCTTTCTCATCCACAGTGATGTTTATTTCACAGTGTGTGTTGTCAAAAAGAGCAGCCATGACCCATCAGGGTTAGTTGTTCATAAAAGTATACCCTGTCTTGTGCTTTAGCATGTAGGGAGTTAATGAAGGAGCTATTCCTGGAGATTCTTTTAAAATATAAAATGTTAAAGTGATTAAAAGTACTGATAAAAGGGAAATATATTTGTTATCTTCCTAATGGCCATTCAGCACAGGAGTGAGGGTCTTTTTTCCTGTTCAGGACCATTCGTAGGGTAAATCTTTTGGGTAGCCATACGGTCCTGGGCAGGTCCAGGACTACACAAGATATTCACTTCTTTCTCTCTCTCTCCCCGCTACAGAAAAGCCCTCCCTTCTCTCTCTTCCTTTCTCACACTGCCTTTTGCCTTGCCTTTCCCCATCCTGTCAGACATCTAAACTGATCACTTGCAAGAGGTTTTTGAAATTAAACTGATGTCCATAGTTTTTCCTTACCCGATTAAGCAGAGGCTGAATATAGGTTTTATCCATGATGTGGCAATATGTGGATACTCTCACAAATAATTGCCGTATATAATATTGTACATCTAAACACAACATTTCCTGCCTTTGAGCAACCTGTGCAAGTCTTTTCCTATGTTAAAGTTTCATGGTTCTTAACTGAAGCAACTCCACCCCCAGATATTTACTGTTTCATTTGCAGAAGTTCCAATATCTTCCCTTGGGCAACTCTGGAATGGTTTGGCAAGCACAGCCCAAGATTTTCCAGATACTAATTTTCTGTAACACACAGGGAGAATCCCTTTCATCTGGGCTAAGTTGCTTAGGGTGAAATCCTATGCATGCTAATGCAGAAAAAAGCCCTACAATTCCCACGTTGCCCCAGCCAGTCTTTTTTCCTATCTAAACATGCATAAGATTGTGCTTTTTCATTCCTAATCGAGATTTGAAATTCCTAGATCTCACAGCTGTGTCTTTCTTTTGGATGGGGGTTTTAAAAATTGGCTAAGTACAATTCTACATGCCAGACCGAAAAGCTGAACCAGGGGCAGACTGTTAAGTATATAATTAGTCTGAAGTTATTCTTTCTTGCTTGATCAGCATCCAGCCCAGGTGACTAGTACAGCAGCAAAAATGACATGTACTGCAGTGTTGAAATTGGATCTGAAGTCCTTGAGCAAAGAGAGCATTTTCCATATTTAGCATCATCAAAGTTCCTTTCCTTCATACTTTATTGCTGATCTTTTAATACAGCTGAAGCCTGATATGCTTTACACCTTAAATAATTTAAATAGATTTTCTTAAATCTTTCCTGCTTTTTCTGGTGAGGTAATGTTCACCATACAGGTTCTTTTTAAAGAATATCGTAAAAAGGGATAAAGACTCTAGAATATGTACTTGATGTGTTCTGGAACCTGTCTTACTAAAATCTGTCATATGTCAAAATCATGTTGCACATTAACGTGCAAGAGGAGTCGCTATGGATGCCTTGCTTTCTGATGCATGTTTTTACTTGAACATGGGAAACTCACCATGCTAAGTTTCTCTTGCAGTATCTTGAAAGCCCTGACAATCGTTAACAAACTCAGATAAAATACTTAACAAGCCTTGTGCTTTGTCATTTTAGCTTTGCCCCTACTACCTCAGACTCATAGCCAGAGGAAGATTCAACATCTCAGACTCTGGAATACATCTCAGGGGTAGGCTCACATGATCCAACAGCCCACCGGCTTATTGAGATGAAGGGCCGTGGCACGTGTCCATTATGAGTGGCTTTGGCATAATGTCCATAATTAAAGGACATTTTGAGTTTCCATTATGAGTCCATTGTCATGTTGTTCAAAACTGGGGAGTGTGGGTTAAACAACCCCAATTTAACCCAGCAACAGACCGTAACAACAGAAACAAGCCATGAGGAGCAGTGATGATCCTAGAAACCAGATCAGTGTCTGTCATGTGTACTCTATGTGTGTGAGTTTGCATACTGATTTGTTGTGTACATAAATGAAGCATATTGTACAAAATACTAAAGCACCCTAAAATATAAACAAAAGTTATCTTTTCACTTTTGTGCTGGGTCAGAGATGTATATGTGTCCATCTTTAAGCATAACCATTTGCCACAAATGGTAGGATGTTTCTTAATATGTTCCATCCCAATTTGTATGTGCTGCATCCCTGATGGAATAGAACTCCAGAAAGAACAGCAGGCTGTGAGGGAGGACTCAATTAATCCATAGTATACCTTAAACACACATTTAAAAAATGTAAGGCTGCTATTTTGTACACACTTCTGAATAGGGTGGCATTGCAGATGATACAAGAATGTGCAGTTTACTTTAATGGATTGCAGACTTTATTTCTAAAAGAAACTTTTCAAAGTTTTAATGTTGTAATAAAGTTTTAATTTAAAAAATCAAAATAACTCCCTCCCCCATGTCTTTAAGGTAATGCTTGGTACTATACTTTATGGTTCTTTTGCACATTTTTGTTCTCCTTTCTGTTCTCGTTGTCTAGTGCAATTAATATTTAATTCTTAAGGCAGATGCATCTGGACTATGGGTCTCCCACTGACCCTCCTCCTAGTTACCCAGTGGTATTACTGACATAGAACCACTTCTTGAGTCTGTTCCAGTCCTTGTCCTTCTAGGATTTAGCAAGTTTTCTAAATCACATTTACCAATTGTTAGGATAGAATATATCAGCTTCTTCACAAGTACAAATCACATCAGTTGGAAGAGGGAAGCACTTCAACCTGGGACAAAAATTGCTTATGGAAATTTCACTTGAAATGCCTAGAATTTCATTTTAGGGTGTAGATATCAGAGGATGAAATAACTTGGGTATGAAAGGTGCACATCTCTGTAAACCACAGCACACACACCATTCCCCTGTTCACCATTCAACACACACACCATTCACACTATTCCTTATCTGTTGCAGTTCAGCTCGGGTCTCGTGAGTGTAAAGTAGACACTTCATATATCTATACTCAAAGCTTTCTTTGTACCACCCTTCCTTTCAAAGAAGATTTGGGGGGATGATTCGCATTAGATGAAGTCAGCATGGGAGACAAAAGTTAAACCCACTCCACTCCCGTGTCATGCCGTTAATAATATTGCATCTTTCTGAAATGCTTTTGGTGGGAAAGAGGCAGGATAATGTTTGAAAACCCACTCACAGATGTCATGCATCCTTCCCACATAGGTCTCACTTGAGTGATCCCTCCATCGTTTTTTCCATGGTATGGATCATACCAGCAGAGCCTCTACATGTGTATGTGCTTGTGCATGTATATCTAAGTTCTCATTACAGGATGTAGATGCATTATGGGAGATTACATAAGGCTCAGATTGGCTTAACTCGCTGAATTCATACATCTGGACCATATGTGGCTGTCTGGTTGTTGTTATTAAAGGTGGACTACTTGTGGCCACCCAGATGTTTTCCCAATCCTTTGCATTACCTCTGGCTAATGAACATTGTAGGCCAAATCATCTGGAGAAGCTCTATGAATTTTTGACTGCGTTGTTTTGTAGAATTTGCAATCCTATGGTCAGCTTTTATTATGGAAGGCAGACGAATAAGCCTTTGGACTTCTGAAAAGATGGCAAAGGGATTTGACAAAGGAGGAGGAATAGACCTGTCAGATGGACATGGACATGGCTGAAGAAGCCCCAAGCCCACTAGAATTCCGTCTTTCAGCCTTCACTAACCTGGTTTTCCATGTGTGTTGGCTTACAACTTGCATTAATTATAGGAGTTTGGCCTTTGGCCACACCTCCCACCTGTCCTTTAAGCACTGCTAATTTCAGTGAAGCCGTGATTTAGGATTTCAGCCTAGGAGAAACTACTGACCTGTTTTAAAATTCATTTATCTGCATTTCTTGTATTGCATTTCTTGCTTTCTCTCAAGTAAAAATTAGGGTGTCACCAGAACCTGGTTCAGTCTTCTGAATTTTCAGTGAGCGGTGCTATGCATTACTTTCAAGGCCAATTCAACCATTAGGCAGAATAAGGTGGCCACTTCTGGTGTCAGGGGACTGCAAAGGTTGCAACTGTGTTTGCCTCTGTTGAAGGGCAGTGCTGTGTGTTCCAGTCAATCTGCCAGGCCCCCCCTGGCTCAGCTAGCCTGCTGCCCAGTTGGAGTGGAGGGTGCTCTCCCCTGCTGGGCAGGGAACTCATATTGAAGTGCCAGCCTAATCATTCTGTGCACATGGAATGGGAAAGAAAGAATCTTGTCCTTCACTTCAGATATCAAAAAAATCCCCTGATTACTCTGTTAAGTGTGGCTGCCATGCAGATTTTCAGAGCTCAGTACAACTCTGTAATGTCTGCTTGTAAACATGGTACTCTGGTTGCAGTCTGACCCCCTGCCATGAGCAATTACTTGGTTAATCTCACTAAAATTTAAACAACTTTAGATTTAAAGTAAGCATTACCGACTTCCAAATGAAACTGTCTGGGATGTACATGACTTCAGAAAGCTGCTAGCTGTGTTTGCATGCCACTAAAGCTGGGAATCCTGGCTTTAATGCTATAAGATGAGCGAGATGTACGCTGCATTCAAACCCAATGGTTTACAGCAGTCATCAAGCTAGAATCATGAATCAACAGCAAATCCTAGTTTAACATTGGCTCATAATCCTGGCTTGTTTGAATACAATAAGTCATAGCTCCAAGTACAGAAATAAAGCTGAACTATCCATGCCTGAATTGTTTACCTTCTTTAGCAATTAGGGGGAGCAAAGCAGGAGCTGACAGTCTATATACATGAACATACAGGTCATACACATTGTGGTTTAATACATCAGACTTACTGGATTAAAGCAATCTATGAACATTGTTATTGACTTCTGTGGAGCTGCAGAATTTAGAAGAGAAATTCTATAACTCCTGACAAAGTCTGTGTCTCTCTAAAGCAGGGATCTCAGACTCAACTTACCTGGGGGCTGCTGGAAGTAGAGTCTGGGTGAGGCTGGGCCGCATCAAGTATTCCACCACCGTGGTGGTGGTGGGCCGCTCATCCCGCGTCGCTCCCGGAGGCCGGCCTGGGCGCCGCTAGCGCTTTGAAGGCCGCAGGGCCCCTACCCCATGCCCCGCCGTCCCGGAAATTGGCCCGTGGGCTGCGAGTTTGAGACCCCTGATCTAAAGTAATGTATATTCCAGTCAATTTTCTTTTGAAATTGGTATTTCTATATTTTTTAGTAATCATAATACATATGATTTAGCACTAATAATGAAATTTCAGCTGCTGTTCCTTATACTCATGCTGTTCCTTACATACTATTTTGCTTCGAGTCTGCAAGTCACAATGATCTGTCTAGAGCCTGTAGAGCTTTTAAGAGCTTTCTTTTTTCTTGACTAGCATAAGTAGGGAAAATGAAAAGCCCCATTTCTGAGGTACAGCCTTACAATGCATATAAGCAACTACCAGTAGAATAAATGAGAGAAAATTATTGTTGTGAAATTCGCTTAACTGGTTGTGGCTCCCATTTCAAACATCCCCAGAATACACCTGCCAACGAAATTGTTTGGTTCATGATATAAAAGCTGCATAAAACTGTGTGTTGAACTGTTGAGTCACTTTGTCTTGAATGTTTTTGTGAAAGACACCTTTAGAATCAGACTGCACATTTCAGGTGAGAATATTGGACCGTGGTGCATTCTCCCACACCTGCTACTAAAGGCTAAAAAGATTATTTTAAAGTACTCAGTTCAAAAATGGGGACATCATTGTTAGGCTGTTTCCTTCCGATCTTTTGCATAGCCATCACATTTAAATGAGTTTGATGCAGCTGCATTAGAGTAATAATAGGCCTTTAATTTGCACTTTGTTGTCATGAATCCTTGCCTGTGTAATATATACTGAAATTCTTGTTCAGTGGTTACATATGCTAGTTTTAAGGCATTTGACAGCAGGCTCTTTTTCCCCTCATGCAATTTCCCCCCTCCCCCCCCAAGACTTAATTCCTGTGATCTGCAACAGAGAATCATGAACCATGCATATTGCAATCTGAGAATAATAAATTACTATTGCTAAATCAATTAATTATTGACGATATCGACATATAGAAAGATTGCAGAGTGGCAGTCTTTGTAGTTCTTTGCTCCTATAATTCTGGATAATATACAAGCATGTTGAGAGAGATCACAGCTGTCTCATGGCATTTTAAATAATATTGATTTTTTTAAAGTCTGAAAACATTGTTCATTAAAATAATAATCTTGTCCTTGCCTCATTCTGTGTTTCTCATTAATTTAGCTGTAGAAGTAGTGCAGGCATAGAGTGGTGGTGCTCAAAAACACACATTGCAAATTCCCTTTTAGTTGTTACTATTTAATCAAAATCTTCCTCAGCTCAACCAGGCACAACATTAGACGGTCTCCCCTGTAAAACATAGCTTGTAAAATTTTTAAGTTTGAGAATGATTGCATTTTGATATTTATCCCACTTGGATTCAAGGTGTTCAGCACTGAAATGAGATAGCTCCAAAATCAGGTATAGTCTATTTGATTTAATAGCATTAGATTTAATAGCTCCTCTGCCTTTTTTAATTTTTTTGTCATTGGGTTACATTAAAGCACAGCAAGATCAAGTTTTAAACTTCCTTACTCAACAGCTCTATTAGTTATAATGCACCATGACCTCTCTCAACATTCTTAAAGAAAAAGATACAGTGTAATGTCACTTTACTTTGCTTATTGTTCTTTGTTGAGGTGAACAAAGCATTTTCTGCAGTGGTTATAGCACATAATTATGCAGCTTTCAATAGTGGTGTCTTGGCACATATCAAAGTTCAGAAGAGCCTTTAGAAAAAAAAAGATGTTTTGTGGCAGCCTAGTGAGGGTCTCATCTTTCCTTCAGAAAATAGTTCAAGGCTCTTCTGTCAGGCTTCCCTACTTGGAGCTTTTTCTCCTCCTGCTTCATAAAGTTTAAAGGGGATTCAGTGGAGTTCTGTGATCTGTTTCCTTTGAAAGATTGTTCCTTTGCACAGAGAGGTCCTTTGACTTCAAGAGTTCACAGATTCATGTCTTTAGGTATCATATGTCTGACCTTATCAGTTACTCTATTTAATGTAGGAGAAAAAGTCTCAAACTCTTTTGTGTTTGTCTGTTTTTCTGCCTCTGTGAAGTGATTTGGTGAAGAAGAGAAAGAAAAGGACCATCCCTTTTAACACGCCACTGTGAGGCCGTTTCTGACTGTAACCTACCCTGTAGCTTTTCTGGGCTGGGTGGTGGGTGGAATTGTCCGTATGTTTTGTGTATGGATAATTTCACAGCGATAATAGCATTATACAAGGCCAGGCACACATTAAAACACATTTTTGTTCTCCCCCCTGCACCCCGCCCCTACATGATCTATTGGCTATTTTGGTGGCTGCCACAGTGGTCTCCAACAGGCACTACCATTTAACAAACACGAAGCACGAAGCGCTGGAGTGCTGGGCCAGCAGTAGGCTTTCCCTTGCTTCGACCTACCCCAAAGGCTTTGATAATTAATTGTCCTTCAGAGATGAGGAAAGTTCAGAGACAGTGTGTGCAGCAATGTCTATTGTCTGACCTTCAGTTCTCCTTCCTTCAGCTTCCTTTCTTCACACCACAAAGGGTTAGCAATGGGAGCAGGGAGCAAGGGCTCCTTCTAACGACTGTGGGAGACGGTTGTTGCGTTCGGTGGGAACTTAGCATTGCATTTCTGCTATCTGCGGATTAAATGGGCTCAGAAAGTTCTGACAAGCCTTTTCAGTACTCCCTCCTTTAATTTCACATACGCTCTAACAGCGCTATTCTACAAACCCTTCAGAAACTTTTAATAGCTCCCCTTACTCTCCCCAACTATGAAAACACAAAAAAGCTGTAACTATGTAAAACATTCAGATTTTCAATCCTGCAGCCATTTGTGAGGGAATACTTAGCCTTAACTTCTGAGTAAGCCTGCATAGGATTGTACTGTTACCATCTTATTTTTGCCAACACTTCCTACCATGTATGAGAGACAGCAGGGACAGGGTGGGGGGTTCATTATCCCCAAATAAGGATCACAATAACCCAGGGGAAAAGTTATGTTAAGACACTGCTGATAAATACTGGGGTATTTCTAGGATTTAAATTTTTGCATGCAACAATAATTGTCATCAGGATGTGAGGGAAAATATATATATGGGAAACACTAATAGAATATTATTTAACATTTTAATAATAGCTATGTAAAGATATACTCTGCTTGACTTTTAGTTCACAGATATAATGGTAGTACTAATTTCTAAATTTGAGAATCCTTCACTTTTATGTACAAGTGCCATGGCTAAAGAAAGGCAAATATTTCTGCCTGAGGTAAATTGCCTGAGGTAAATCATTGTTTTAACAGTGTTACAAATATGAAAAAACAAGCATGGCATACTTTGCTAGTTCATTGAAAGCTTGACTCGGACTTTTCTCAGGCATCCCACCAGAGAGGGCATGCTAAATTCATTTCAAATTTCTTTTTGGTGAATCAACGGCTACTCAAAATTGTATGGCCGTCCATGTTGCTGGCGAGTTGGGAGTATAAGTGCTTAGTTGATTCTAGGGACCCAACTGGCTAGAATTGGAGTGGTTCAATACAACAAAACCAAGCCACACTCCTGGGCAGGCCACACATGTGACTTGCTTGCCTCTGTACTGCTGTTGTGCCCGAAAGAGGATGAAGCACGTCGTGGCTCTGGAGCTGCCATCTCCTTCATTTAGGAACTATTTTATTTGTTTAATACACGTCTATACCACCCAATAACCAGTGCCCTCTGGGTGGATTCTGACAATTGTGGATGAGTCAATGAATATGGCTGAAGTGCCATGCTGGATCAGACCCGAGGGCCATCTAGACAAACACCCCGTACACACAATGGCAAACCAGCTGCATCCCTCGAGTGGGCTGAGTGCAAGACTTCCTCCTGCCCAAGCTCCTCAGCAACTGAGGCAGGTCCATACAACACACTGGGCTAAGACAGCCCAGTGGTACAAACCTAAACAAATCAACACATTAAGGTAGCTTTTTTTTTTTTTTAATAGACAATGTCCTAAATAACATGGTTTCCCTTCAAGCAGTTGGCTGATAAAACCATCTATGGTAAATACTTGTCATTTCAGGCTCCATGAGAAATGTGTGCCTAATTAAAATTGTAATAGCCTAATAATATCTATCAAAGAGCAAAGAAGCTAGAGTTTGCTGAGCAGATTATTAATATTGTTTTACCTTCTGTGATTAATTTAGAATCCTCTGTGGCATAATTATTAGACTGTAGAACAACGGAACAGAATGATATACATATTTTGCTGTTTTCCCTGATGATATAGCAAGCAAAGATTCAGTCAGAAGATGTAGGGAAAGTATACATGACTCTGCTTATTTAATCAGTACAATATAGAAGTATATTAATATAAAGCAATTTGGGTGGGAGAAATTAAATGATCTACTGGACAAGGCTTCCATTAAACCCATTTTGTTTTGTTCTGAGTTTTTAAGTGACATTTTAAATGGTTTGTTAAAGCTCATATGATCACAGTATTAGGAAAATAGCTGTGAAAAGTGCCACTACCCCTGTGCATTACAGCTGCAGTCCTATATTCATTCACAGATTTCTAAACAGCTTTTCAGAACTTTACAAGGGTAACCCATAGACTGTTATGGGATTTACTTTTGAGTAGACCTATCAGTAAACCAGTTTAATCACCAAGCTACAGGGTTTATGTATTGTGATCATGATTAACTTATTATGCAAGGCATTTTGCAACAGGTTTATTGTTGGGGGCCTTAAAAAAAACTGTGGGTGAAGCAGGCGCAGCTTGCAGAATGAGGCAAAAGAGATCATAAAAATTTAAAGTTATTCTGATGAATTTTTCATTAGACACAGTTGAAAAGGGCCACTGGTAAAGCAAAGAGCTTTGCTTGGAGTCTCTTTTGGAAGATGCTGCCTTGCAGTAGTTAGATACACGAGCAGGCTGTTTTGGATTCACAGTTGTGTTGACAGCGAGTGCCCCAACAAACTCTCTAGGAGCCGGGGCCATCAGCTGTGCCTCAAGCAAGCGTCAGGAAAAACTGTTTGCATGTTAATAAAGCTGTTGGGGTTCTATTTCTTGATATCAAACCCTACCCCAGGGAGAACTGTTATTGAGTTGTATAATTATAACAATATTTAGTAAGTGTCCTGTATAAATAGTGAATATTTCGCCTATCTTTCCCCATAATCCTTACATCAACAATACCAGTATTATTCCTATATTAAGATGACAGACTTGGGCTGAGATAGCCTAAGGATGCCCAATCTGGGTGCAAGAACCACGATTTCTGAGTACCTTACAAAGCCAGGTGGGCACTTGGCCTCATTTCATGCAGGTGAGGGTAGCCCCACAGCATGATGGAAAAAAGAGAGGGAGTGGAAAGAGTCCTCAGGGAAGCCTTGCAGAGTGGGGGAAAGAAAGAATAGTGGGGGGAGGCAAGAGAAGGAGGCACCACCCACTTTTGGCTGTGGCCCCGCCCACTGCCACCACGCCATGTTTACTGCCAGCATGCAGCCTTTGACACATTAGCTCCAAGGAAATGCAGCTTTCAGCAGCAGAAGGAAAAAGGGCTGCCCTAATTTTAGGGTTGCACTGCGAATGACCCAATCCTTCAACTGGGAGTTTGACTCACCATTCATTTTCTTAACTACTGTGGTACACAAATTGCTCTTACTCTTTAAAGCACCCTTTTTATCCATTGGCAAGTATATCCTCTTTAATCTGAGGGTGAATAATGCAAAGTACTCTTAAGTCCCATTGCCCAGTGCATGGTTCATTTTTTCTCTTGGAAATCTGCACCCCTTATAAATCCCGGACATGGATCCATATTACATATAATTAAGTTACAGTTGCCCAAAGCATGCTGCATTGTTGTTGTGTCTAACATGCATCCATCTTTTTTCCCCTGGCCATTTCTGAAGAATGACATTGTGTTTTATTTGTTAAAATCCTGCTCCGAATCAATACTTTGGCGGTTATTTCAACAGCAGCAGTATATGAGGGAATCTTAGCTATGTGGAAGATTTAGCAATTATTGATCAATGCTTTGCTCCCTTTCTCTGCTTCCCCCACTCACCACCTCCAACCCTGCCATTCTTCAAAGAAGAATTTGGCAAACACTGTAGAGCTCTCCTGACATTTCCCTATGCGGGCAGCGAGAAGCAAGGGGAATTAAGAAATCGGCAAGAGGACCGAGGCAAAACCCCACATTTCTCATGGTGCTGGTTTTCCCAGCTGAAGATTTCTTTTGCTAGCCCTTCATGCTATGCTTCCAACTTCTCTCGAACGGCTTCTCAGTGGCAGCAGTCATGAGGGTTGGGTATTTCTTCCCAAGTGTGTACTAGATGCCTCTAAAGACTCTTATTTATTCCCTCCCATGTCACCTTGTGTACAGTCTGGCCTGTGACACTGATGGTGATTATGTCATTATGTTGCTCTGGGGGCTTTGGCACATCTGCAGCGCTGATGCACATCTTCTTTGTTACACTGGCGTACATCCCATATTGCAAATGCTTCATTAGCCTTACTGCCTGCCTGCCTTGCCAGACAAGAATGCCCAAACCCAGGCTTCTCTTCGTTGTGTTCTTTTGTGTACTATGATGAGCCTTTATTCCTCTTCCCAGTTCTTCCCTGTTTTCCTGAACTCCAGATGTCCAGAGTTCACAAGTTCCCTTAAAAGGATTGTGGAGAAAAGTAGGGGAGGAGGCAACATAGATGTTAACCTCTTCTAACCCACTCTGGATCTTTTCCCTCACAACACGTACAGTGTTTCCCGTCCCCTTTTTAAGGAAGGAGAGACATCTTCATTTTGAAGTAACATGAGTGCAATGTACAAAAATGTATGTGGCCGCAATGGCCTCAGTGTGTGGAATGTGGCCCTTCTTCGCTTCATCAAGTAGTTTGTACAGTCTCCTAAGAAACTGAGTTTTCAACAGAAAAAATAGAGGAATTTCTAGCTCTTGAGGATGTGGCAGGAATCTCAGTATGGATACTTTCTCTGAAGTGCTTTGCAAGTGGCTGATTAGGTCTTGAACAGGCAATGAGCAGTCCTTTCCTCTTGGCAGGCTTCAATTTTCTGGTGTCCCCATTTATCTGGAACTGTAGAAATAAGATATGAAGGACAGCAAACATCAGTGATATGTGAGGTGTGACACAACTTTGTTTCATGTATTTGTGCTTGCACTGGGAGAGAAATTGGTTCAGTGCATGTTTTAATGAAAACTTTCCTAATTGTACACTTTTGAAGCAGCTCAACACAAACTGAAATTGTTATCCTTCAAAACAATTTGCATTCTCTGAACTTTGCAAGAGTTGTCCAGTCAAAACAATGATGAAAATCCATATTGCAAAGAACTTGCAAATGTTTATATTACCGAAAATCATAAAAATCATACTTCCATGCCAAGATAAATGTTCAAAGTTCAAGATGAACCATATTTAAAAATTAGGAAAATGCAAAACTGAGAGAAACCAGAACAGACAGATTCATTCAACCCTGGTTCACATCTATGATGTGTCAATCATAGACACATCTATGTCAAAAGATGGTCTGAAACTTGAGGCTTAAAAGGTGCTTAAAGTAATCGTACTTACTAGGCATAGACCACTGCTGCACCCAAGGCCTTGCTGACTCTCAATGGCTATTGCAAGATGTAGAATGGTGGAGGGTTTTGTGCTGGTATTCAGATTTTTAAAACCTTTCCTCCTTTTGAGACAAATATGAGAGACTAACATATCGGAGCTCCAGGGTTGGTGAAGTTTATAGCTTTGTTTTGTGATATGCCTGCAGTGGAAGGACATTCGATCCTGCAGATTTAAGGCCTCCTTGCTTCACCATAGCATGCCCCTTACCTCTCTCACACTGTCTTCAGAGCACTGGCTTTGGCTCGCAGTGGCACAGGATTCCACCACTACAACAAGAAGCCTCCACTAGTGGGACTCCTCTACCTGTGGACCAGGGACCAGCAGGCAGCATCCTAAAGACCGAAAAGTTCAGTGCTTTGGATATGTATGCGACCCAGTTCCTTTTGCAATTCAGCTAATTTTCTACTAGAGTCTTAAATGAGATTCAGGGGAAGAACCAGAGAATGGACCCATCCACTGATGTTGCTTGCCACTTTGTGGATCACCTCTCTGGCTTTAATCTGCACCCCAACTCTACATATATTATCTCCTGATCACTCCCCCCTCCTCTTAGTAATGGGGAAGTTCCAATTCTGGGGTAGAAATGAAATGTGTGCAAATACATATGACAGTGAATGCACACATATTTAAATTACTGCATATTATAAGTGGTGTTATTATTTTTACTACAAAATTCTTTCCACTTCCACCTTGATGCTCAAAGAACCATTTCTCCTGGATTTAAGTACTATCTTTTGCAGATGTATCCTCTGTTTATATAGTGTTATATATACTATATAAAATGCACTGTATGCATATACATACACAGAGAGAGAATCATACACTGCTGAGAACATTTTATACAGCACTGCTTAATTGTGAGCAGGAAAAATGCCATTCATGCAGTTGCTGATTTGTAAAGCTACAATGTGCTTCTACTTCATTTAAGATTTTATATAGTTGCAGTGCTTTACAGTGTATGAAAATTCTATTCTCATCCTTTTTCTATGGAAGGTCTGGGGAACACGTTCTTCCAAATTCCCAGTTGTGCAGCTTCAGAGTGCAGCCTGATGCCATTTCCCCCCATTAGATAGGCTTAGTGACACTATGTTTCTGTCACCACACTTCAGTCGCTTGCACATATGAGCCAAAAAGTATTCTGGTGGTCAATTGATTGGCAATAAAGTGGTGAACTTCCTAGTATACTATGGTTTTTTGGCTGAACTGCTGAATTGCAAGCATCCAGACCACAGTTACTGTAATACGACGCATCCGTAGGTTGGATTTGTATGTAGAGTGAATCAACTGCATTGATGGACTGGAACCCCTCTCCCCCTTCCTACCCATGGCATCCCCTGCATCTCCCTGAAGATACTACACAAAGGATGGGTGGGCTGGTTTGCTTGGATTTAAGGCAGTTTATTACCTTAGAACAGGGGCCCGCTCTATCAAACAATGTTGACTTCTTAGAAAATGACTGTAAGTTATATTTTAGTTTTGTTGTTACTGTCAGTATCATTTATTTCTGGCAAGTACTGAGTTTTCCAGTCCTGGGCATGTTAAGCTGTTTGGTGTGCCTAACAATTAGATTAATGGTGCTATGCCATGCATGTTTATTCAGATGCAAGTTCTATTGCGTTCACTGGATTTACACCCATGTAAGTGTGCACAAGATTGCAGCCTATGCCATGCTTACTTGGGAGTAAATGTCATCGGTTTAAGTGGAACCTATTTCTGAGTAAACATACTTAGGTGTATGCTGTAAATAACTTTAAAAAAGAAGTTTATTCTAAATAAATTCATTGGGCTGATACACGAATAAATCTTGCACTTAATCCTTAATCTTGCATGTAACCCTCCAATTCCTGCAAACTCATTTAACCTACAGGAAATCTATGAACTCAATATTAGAATGGCTTTTTTAGGTGGAGTACATTGGTACACTGATTTGAAATCATAAGTTTTCATGAGATCAGGAAATTTAGTTCTATTGCAGATATTTCATTAAGGTTCCCATTATTTGCAGTGACCAGTGCCAGGTGAAGCTTGAAAGATAGTTTGATCCAGCAGGCTACTTTGGACTTTGTCCTGGACTTAAATTCAGTGGCCAGAGATTCACTGGATACTCTTGTGCAAATAATTATTTCCTTTTTATGAAAAGTAGATACAACAAACTCCAGGTGTTTGCTCACCATTGCAAGCAACCCAGCATGATATCAAGATGTAACAGTTTTGAAAAAAAATGTATTCCCCAGTAATTTATTCTATTTAAGTGTAGCTACTATGGATGTATTACTGTGATACTGAAGAATTGTTCACTTTAAAAATAAAATCAAATTATATGCGTTCATCCATGAGGTATAGCCTGAGCAAAGCTGAGAAGATACCAAGGCCAAGATTCTCCTTGTTCTGTTGGTTTAGTATAGCACTTACTAGTCATTTGTGGAAATGTGCCTTTTTTGTAATAGTGATAATTTAAATAAGAACCAGAACATCCTGTGTGGGTGGAATAATATAGGGATGAGCGAGAAAAACATTGTAGGATTTTGTTTACATTAGTATTTGTGTCATTGCAGTCTTAAAAGCACCTTGACAAAACCAGGATAATGCTTTTTTAATAATCTGTGGGAGTGTGAAAATTAGTCTAGTAGGTTGGTCAAGAGAATGTGACATGACCCATTAGCTCCCAGTTCAGTTCTCAGCTGTGCTATAAACTGGGTAGCCTTTTGCAGGCACTATCCTTCAGAAGCTCCGCACCCTGTCTGTATAATGCAAGATGGTAAAAGTGGTGTGTATTGAAGCTATCAGTATTCCCAAACACATGTATGCACGCATGCGCGCGCGCACACACACACACACACACTCTTCTTGATCAGACGAATGGCCCATCTATCCAATATTCTGTTTCCCCTGTAGGCAAATGCTTCTAGAAAGACCACAAGCAATACAAGAGGGAAACAGAGCACTTGCACTGTTCTTCCTCAGTGAGTAGTAAGCAGAAGAATGGCGTGTGTGTTTCCTCCATTAAAAAAAAATCTTTGCACATAGCTTCCTCCTAGCATGCTAGTTTTCTAAGTTGCAAGTCTTATTTATTATTTACTTATTTATTTGTTAGATTTTTATCCTTCCCCTTTACACAAAATGGTTTTCTGGGTGGGTTACAAGATGCAAGATATAATAACAACACATATATAATAAAATATGTAATATTAAATTAACAAATGTAACAACAGTAAAATCATAACACCTGCAATAAAACCTCACAATAACCTCCAATATCCTCACTTCTGAAACCGATAAGAGTACAATAAACATGCAATAGCACTAAGATGTAGCAAATACCATAAATACCGTAAATTCTTTCTCTTAAAATATCAGGTAAATAAAAAGGTCTACACCTGGTGCTAAAAGGAATAGAGAGGAGGCTCCAGGCAAACCTCTTGGAGGATCTGATTCCAACCTTATGTCTTCTGCCTAACATCTATTGTTCTATGTAAGGGAATCCTTGGTACAAAAGCACACAATTATGTGAATCTTTTATCTTCTGCATTCTGAAGTGATACAGCCTAGAAACATTACTGAAAATAAGGTTCTTGCTCAGGGCCAGTTCAGAGATCAATAGAAGGCCTGATGGGTGTGTTGTCTCTCTGTGCAAGTTCCTTGCGCCTGGTACTCATGGATCAAGAAACGGGTAGGCCGTCTCAGGCAGTTGTTTTCAATAACCCTTACATCTAAAAAAAGAAGCTTCTATGGTGAAACTGCTTATACAATCCTCTTAATGTTGATTTTAATTGCTTTAATTATCTGAAAACAAAATTATTTATTTATTTTTAACTACAAGTTAAAGATTATCCACTAAGTATTAAGTATTGCCTCTTGAGTTCTTGTCCCATTGCTGTTAAAGCACACCTGTTCCTATAATGGACCAGCCATGCTTTAGCTTTTCACTCAGGAATCTTCACGCTGCAGGTGATTTAATGGAAGATTGGTGAGAGACTGAGCTGAATGGTCAGGGTCATTTTCTGCCTCTCCAGCTCATATTGTACAGTCAAAAACTACTGCAAGGGAGGAAGTACCACATCTCTGTCCATCTATTGTACTTGTGATTTAATAGCCAACTATAATATGCCTTATTGCCATGTGGGGCATGTAAGGAATCTTACAGCAGAGAAATGCTTATTAAAGTTCATAAATATAATCTACAGTAATTATATAATGCTCTGTAATGCTCTGTATCCATTTTCACTGTGCTATTTATTGCTTTATCTTTTCTGATAGTATCAGGCATCTAACTATTTCACTCCAGAACTTTTTTTGCTCCAAGAGCCAGGCTGGTTTTTGCTTTAAGAGAGGAGACTGGTCTTGTGACAACAGAATAATCTAAGGAAGAAACTGCCCAAGCTTTGCCTCCTACTGCTGCCCTGCCTTCTGATCTGCCCCAGCCCATTGTGGGGGACCCAAGACCTGGAAAGAGCCTCCCACCATGAGTAGAGCAACCCATGCTTTTCCTGCACATGGAAATGCCAGGCAAAGGTCACCATTGACCAGTATGGCTATTGACATAGCCAGCAAAGGGCTCCCCTCTCGATCACTTTCAGCCATGGCGCTGCTACGTGGATAGGAGAAAAGTTCCAGTGAGGCAGGCATGGGGAATGAGAAAAGAAGGGTTAGAAGAAGACAAGGAACAGCACAGCAAGACTTCCTGAGCAAAACACTGAGAAGCCATTGGAAAATGACGGGGTATAGTTTAGTATTCATCCAGCTGGTACTGTATATTTTCAGCTGAGTTGATCTTTATATCCATGCCCCATATTGCAAATGGCTGAGAAATAACAGTTTGCCTAAGGCCATCCAGCAAGTTAGTAGCTGAGTTGAGACTTTTAACTAGAGACCTCCAAGTTGTGTTGTGCACTAGGAGCTACTATGCAGGCGGGCTGCTGACTCTTGTGTCTGTGGACCACCTCATCCATGACACTGAACTCTACCAATCATGGAGCAGTACAGTTAGCCTGTATAAGGAGCCTTCCTTGTTCTGGTCTATGCCTTTAATAAATTGATTGATTTATCAGGAACCCTGGACATAGGAGTCACCTGCCTTTACTACTACTTAGTACCATTTCTGGGATACAAATGGCTTTTCCTGTGGCTTTTTTCACATATTAGTCCTTTACAGATTACATATAAAGATATACCACCCAGAACAGAATTTCCTTTTTATTCTCTTAGTGTTGTTATGTCTAGGCATAGCTCTTCCCACAAGCTTGCAAACTTGCTTTCTACTTTGGAAGCCATTTGCTAACTACATCTTTAAACCAAGCTTCTTATCCATCTTACTTACCATGCCCTTTACAATCTTGATTAGATGTAAGGTCCTGAGGCAGCAAACATGTAACTTCCCATAGAATATACAAAGTTTAGCACCCAGTGAATTGTTGAATAGCCCTAGCAAGCCCCCGAGCAATTTTATGTCATCTGGATTTTATAAACATAAGCAGGATGAAGATTACATGGTAGGGAGCCAACTAGGTTTCCTTTGGATTTTGTAGACCTGCTGTGATGACTTAGTAGTAATTGGTTCGAGGTGTGGCCCCTTTCTTTCTGTGTCTCGAGGACTGAATTACAGGGTGACCAGCCAGATGGGCAAGAGCTCTGTGAACATCTGTATGCCAAATGACCTGACTCTTCAAGGACTTCCTTAGGTAGGATTCACCCACAGATCTTGTTTATACCTTTTAAAAGCTCAAGCATACCTTTTATCCAAACGAGAAGGCAGGAATTACAGCCTTCTCCCCTGTCTGTGGTAGTAAAAACTCCACTTTGCCTATCACAAGTAGAAAAGTAGGACTTGATGTAGGGCAGCTTTTTCATGTCTTGGACTACAGCTTCCATCGCCCCATCCAGCACTGCTGTTGGCTATGTTGGCTGAGGATGAAGGGAATTTAATGCAGCACAACTGGAAGGCACTAGTTTGGGGAAGGCTGGCACAGGGACTAGTGAAGGTGCAGGGCAGAAAGCTCAGCTAATAATTAACAAAATCCTGTATCTTCTGGCTGCTCTCAGGCATAGTTCTTTGTGTTATACATTTGTGTTCTTTGTTTCAGCTGAATGGTCTGCAGAAAGGGTCACAATAAAATCAACACAATAACATCAAATTGCAATTCAAAACAAAACAGTCACTGGAAAGTAGCAGATAAAACAGTGAAAAGCTTATTTTGATTAAAAAATATTTGAGAAGTAATTCTTAGGGACTGAAGCAAAGATATGGCTAAGAACAGCTGTAGTTCTAAGAAGATCAGAGCTCTTTAACTAATTGAACATTCTGTCTCAATATTGGCCAGCCAGAGTTCAGAGGTAGCTGGATATGGCCTTTGGCTGATGTTTGGAGTTTGAGATATACTACTTCTGAATATGGAGGCTTTATTTTTAGCTATCATATGTAATAGTCACGGATAGACCTAAGTATTTGTATAGTGTGGAAAGTTAACTCAGATAGGTACCCTTTCTAAGATTTTAACTGTCTATTAAATCTGTTGGGCTATTTCAAATGACTCCTGATGTGGATGTGGTAACATTTATAAAATGCTGATTAGAATGCTCAGCACCAAAGTATGACTATAACCATGGATTCTGTACTGTAGTATAATATTCGCAAGCCAGGAGAAGTTCCTATACTTTCTTGAATGCAAAAGAGGGAATGTTGCAAAGGAATCTGAAATGTGCAGCATGTGAAATCTCAGTTTTTAAACTTGAGGCTTGTTGTCACCCACCCCTAGAATCCAGAAATCTAACAAAGTAACAGTTTGTGTAATCTTCCAAGACAACAGGAGTAATTTAAAATTGAAGAATTTAAAAAGATTGAAAAATATATTCCTGAGAACAGTCTTTCCACAATTACAGCACAGTCCCCTGAATTTTTACTCAGATGTAAGTCCTTCTGGAGTTCATTCGCATTTACGTCTTTGTAAAGGGTTTATTGGGCTACAGCCGTAATGATGTGGACTTATTTTCTATGGAATAAAGGCATACCTGAGTGAAAGAAACGCTATGTCATGTGGATATAGCAAACCTTCACCCGGTGCAGATGCCTGGTCCAAGGTTTCCCCAAAACCCCATCCTTGTATTTTGTTTTGAAATGGCTCTTCCCTGTACATGCAAAGACCAACTGAAATGGGTCAGAAAGGCAAACTGGTGTCCTTCAGGATGGCTAATGGACAGGAATTGTGAGCACTGCAGTTGAAGCCACCTGGGCATCAGTTTGCCGGTACCTGCTCCAGTTTGCCTATAGCTGCCAATATCAGCTTCCTCCAAAAGCATCTGAACTTGTGCTAGCTGCCCCCTCCCCCGCTCCCAGCAAGGCTCTGATGAAAATGAGCATATTAGCAAGACAAGCTTTGTTGGAAAGACTCAAAGATGCAACAGAGCTGGAGATTTATGGCCACTTCATTGCCAATATTATCACACAGTCAGAGCAGTGATGTGCTCCCAATTCTTTTCTGTCATATTCCATGTGAAATTGGTGCCTTCAGGGCTCAAGTCATTGTCATGCCTGTTTCATACCTTACAGGACAATACCGTGTTTCATCTCATCACAAGACAGTGAGACAGTATAGGACACCATATGACAATAGCCTGTTTCATCTAGTGCTCACCAGGTGAAGCAGAACTTCCATGGATTGTATTAATCCTGTGGGGATGGCATCTTAACTGCTCTGCAACCTCTAAAGGGGGGAATTAGCCAGTACCAATCTAAACTTCACCAAGAACTTGTTTGACCATGAGAATGGGGCCACAGAACCCTTCTCCCAATTCCAAGTCTTTAGTTTTATACCAACTAGAAAAGACCAGGTCAGGAGTAGCCTTTGCCAAATGTATTGCACCCTACAGTGGACCTGTTTTCATGTCACAGCTGCTCTCTGTGGCTTAATTTACCTGCAGAGCCTGCCATGCCGTACTCTGCTTGAATGTACCATTTTTGTATGACACTTGCAGGTTAATTGGTTAGCTATGAGATATACCAAGAGACTCCCTAATCTGTCTCTCTGGCCCAGTCTAAGTACAAAAACTCAAGTCTGGTCCCTGGTGAAGGATATGGATTCCTTATATTGGACAGCAAGTTGCCTGGCACCTCCATGAAGGGTTGATGCTGTACTATATGCCCAAGTAGACAAAGCTGGAACTTGTCGCCTGCACCAAGCTTGCCCATTAAAGTTTATGTGACATGTGCAAGGCCAGCTACTTCGTCCATCATGAAATCCTGAATAAGAGCTATTTTGTTATGGCATTCACAAGGAGCACCCCTGAAGTGGGCTAGCTCTTGGATTTCTTTCTGCTCTTCCTCTTAATGGGCAATTCCAGCCCCACTGTGTCATAGCTTGCTCTGGCTATGATTGCAGTAATATGGGTATCCCTTTGAATGCCACCTTCCTGGGGCACATCATTATGATTTGGCTCTTGCACTTTGTCCTGTAGAAGTTATCAGCCACTTGCCCTAATGTACCATTCCATGCGTTACGAGGAATTCCTATTGCAGCATCCAAGGAGAAGACTGCCAGTATCCCTCCCCCCTATCCCCGCCACTTCCCAAATCTGTTTACCTCCCATTGACATGACCTTGCAACGTTTAGCTTTGCAACGTGAGCAGCTTTCACCAACCAAAGACCTCTGATCTCAAATCCACAAGAGATCTGAGCTTTTCTGTTTGGCAAGACAACATGTTGCCCACCAGGTCGGCATGAATAAAGATGGCCTGTGTCCGTAAACTCTTTCCTATTAAAAAAATAAAATAAAAGATACTCCCTTGTTAATATTATAACATCTCAAGGCATGGGTACAGCTTGAGCTCTTGACTTTGCTTATTGCTAGATTTAATTTCATGGGAAGTGTGGGAAGCCCCCCAGTCTAACAATTCTACTTTTATATAAAATTGCTCAGTAAACCAGTCCTGATCTAGTCTTATCATATTTAAAGTATGTTTGTCCAGCTTTGTAGTAGGAACAAGCAGACTGTTTGAAGGCCACATAGCTTTCAAACCTTGGTTGCGACACGTTAGCCCCATTTTGAAACCATCTTTATCTGGCCGAGAAAACTAAAATCTGTTTGACCAACTAACTCTCTGGCCAGTTTATCTTGTAATATACCTTTAGCTCACAGAGCTTATTGATTTCTTCAAATTAATGTTTACAGAATGCTACTGAATTTTACTCAATGGGACATTGTTCTTTTGAAGCTTGGTAAAATATGAGACAGAATGTTATTGCTCTTAGTTCTTTTGCTGATGAAACGTTCAGGGTTTTGTGTTTCTTTCTTGCTTTCCTTTTTTTTTTTTTTTTTTTTTTTTTTTTTAAGGGTTTTTTTTTTTTTTTTTTTTTTTTTTTTTTTTTTTTTTGGCTTGTTTTTTTTAAAAGGCTAGCCTTGAACTATAGCTGTTTCCTACAAGTGTGTTTACTCTGGGTACATTAGTAATGTGACACAGAATTGGACTCCAGCAGTATGCTTAGCTTAGAAAATCTCTAGACATAATAGAACTACTACAGTTCTAGAGATGAATCCATATTTCCTTTTTAACATAACATATAGAAGGAGTCCTGCTTCATATATTATGGTTCATCATTATGAAAAGGATCCTTAATGTACCATCTGCTTGTACATCCTCTCTTTGTGTGCAAGGAGATGAGAATGAAAACTTTCACTTTTGAATAAACTCTGAAATCTACTATTTTTAAAAACCTCAATTAACAAGTTGTGCCCTGAAGCTTGTTTTAACCAACCACAGTTAGAAGAAACCACACGGTCCCAAGTTAACTGGACACTTCAGGATATTCACAACCATAAATGGAAGTTTTAAATCTTTTTCCTGTATGTGCAAAACAAAATGATGGGAAGTACAATTTGACTGGCTCCCATAATGCTAAGCCAAGGTTTAGCACTGTATCTAAACTTGAAGAAGGAAAGGCTGTAGTCCAGCATAATTGCATTTAGAAAAGCCTCACATTTTCTACCAGCTGTCTCCTATCCCCATGCAAAAGGTTGTGTGCTGTTCCGTGTTAAGTCTAAATAATGACATTAAGGCCTGATTCAGAGGTAACAGGTCATGGTTTGTAGTCATGAAGCTTTGGCTTGTATGCTTACCCTATTTTCTTGGTAGGCAAGAAAAGGAGATGTAAGTTTCTGTTTGTGATTTGTGGTAAACCAGTTTCCAGTTTTATCCAAGCTCAAGAAACTGTGATTTGTGCAAACTATAGAAGAGCCTGCTAGATAAACTTCAAAGGTTCAGTTAATCTAGTATCCTATATTGCAGATAGGCTAGGATCCTATATCTAGTCTACTATCCTATGTCGCAGTGGCCAGCCAGAAGCCTCCTGGAAGTACACAAGCTGGGAACCATAGTTAAGAAACTAAGATGTCAAACCAGGAACATCATTGAGATGAAACTGCCACTTGTGCTTTACAACAAATCAGGAACTGAAACTTTAAATCTCTTCCCATCATGTGTGTTATTAGAGCGTGCAAGTTTGAGGATTATCCTCATCACAGGAAGCAATTATTGTTGCATCTCCACCTGGTCACACTATCTGAAGTTTCAGATTTGATCTTCTAAGAATCTCATCAGTTGAGCTCTTTGCAAAATACTTCTGTGTTGAGTTGAGGGAAACAAAGGTTACAGTCCAGACCTTGCCTCATATTTAACTCAGTTGGGATTATTTAGAGATAAATCTGGTTGGGTTTGAACTGCAAGTGTAAGAAAGATAAGAACAAGGAGAAGGGATTCAAGAAGTGCCCCAGCATTCTTTTTCACACAGTGACCCGCGATTGCTACCAGGAAGACCACCATGAGGGCCTGCAAGCCGCAGCGCTTTCCCTGCTGCTGTTCCCAGCGTCTGGTCTCTAGGGGATATGCTGCTGTGAACTACCTTTTAGCCACAGTGGTAGTAGCCTGTCCCCGCAGAATCTGCCCATCTTCCATTAGAGCCATCTGCCTCAAGCCAGTTGCCATGGTGTCATCTTGTCGCAATCCCATAAGTTAATCATATTGTTACTTAAATAAGGACTTGGTGTTGTCCATCATGCTTCTGAATTTACTGCTACTTTCACTGGGTCATCATGAGTTCTAGTATGCTTTAAATACAAATGAAACAATATATGAGGTATGGGAAGATTTTCACTCTGTCTACTTCCTCTTGTCCATAGATAATTTTATAAACCTCCATCGTAAGTTTCTCAGTCATAAGTCCCTTCCCCTTAAGCTATTCCTTATCTAAATGTAATAAATCAATGAATCCATGTTTAACCTTTTCCTGTAGCAAAAGTGTTCTAAATCTTTGATTGTTTTAGTTGCCTTTTCTCCTTTCATAGACTTTGTCACTGCCGTGGAACTATCTATTTGAATGTTTTTATGTTGTTGTTGTTGTTGTTGTATTTATGTAGCTACCCCACAACACAAGTTCTCTTGTGTTAAAAAACATTAAATACAATAAGTAATCTGTTAAAATCCATTAAACTACAATATAAAATAAAAAAACTGTTTGAACTAAACACAATTTAAAACAATTAAAACATGGATTTTAAACTGGGGAGTGCAAACTACAAGAGCTAAGTTATTTAAAAAGCCTGAGTGAAGGGGCAAAAGTATTCACCCAGCATGAAAAAGTATATAAAGATGGTACCAGACATGCCGTTGGAAGCTGTTCCATAATTGGGACACCACCACCAAAAAGACCACCCCTCTGGTAGCCAACTGCATTACCTTACTTTGCAGAGCCACCCGGGCCAGGGCTTCTAAAGAAGTTCTTAATGTCTGAATAGGTGCATACAGGGTTTCTTCCCAAAGAACATGGGTGGCACAACTTCCAAAATTGTCACCACTGCTAAATTTTCCATAGTGGTGTTAAGAGTGAGAAAACTCATTTTTATTTATAAGGAGAATTGGGCACTTCAGTTATTCTGGGAATTCAATTCTGCATCCAGGCAAGGTGTATACTCAATGTTCCATGTTTTCTTTCTTTTTTTTTTTTTAATCTGATTTTTTTCTCTTTTTGCCACCACCAGCATGACAAATTCAGGGGCAGGGCTACCAAAACAAAAAAAATCAGGCTGGAGTACTGTTAAAGAAAAAAAATAGCATAACTTAAACAGTGCTAAGCAGAGTCCTTCTCCCTGACATGTTGTTCAGCAATTATTTTTGCAGATTATCTCTACTGTTTCTTTCATTCATTTCCTGATCATCCCTTTTCAGGATGGATAGTGTATTGCTGGTTAAGGTTGCAGAAGAGGAAATGAAAATTAACAAGAGGTGGTCATTTAGGAAACTGTGTTGATACAGTTTTTGAATCTTGAAAAAAATATATATTAGAACAAGGTAATTGTTATCACCCTAACTGCTGTTCATATAGAACACAAAAGCAATTGATTCAGATTAAAGGAAGTAAGATTTAGGCAAATGCTGAAGAAGGCACTGTGTTAAACTCTCTCATGGAAACCAAGAGGACCTAAGTGTTCTTAACAGCCAGATTAGTTTAGCAAAGGAACAAGTTGTTGAGGGAGATACTCAAATTTCCTTCCTAGGAGGCTGTCACAATAAGGTTTGACGCGTATCTGTGCAAGCTGCTTTAAATAAAGTATGTTCTGCCTCGGGGCAAAAGGTTACACCAGATAATCCACTGGTTCCCTTCCAGTTCTGAGATTATATGGGGGGAAAGCAGTAGTTGTTTAAAAGATTTCTCAGACTCTGAGTTAGCATACTGCATAGTAGCCTTCCCCAACCTGGTGCCCTCCATATGCTTTAGACAGCAAATCCCATAATCCCTAACTATTGGTTTCATTTGGTTTGGCATTGTTGCCAAAACATCTGGGGGGCACCAGTTTGGGAAAGCTGCTCTATAAATTGCTCAAGGAGAAAATGTTTGTTTTTTTATTTTCAAATTTTAAGACTGGGAAGCAAACTGTTGAACATTGCTCAGTTTGCAATAACTGAGTCAATCGAGTTTATGAAGAAACAATTTTATTATTATTCATCATATATTTCCACTCTTTTTCCAAGGCAGCTTATATTGATTAAATCCACTTTTATCTTAACAACAACCTTGTGAGATAAGTTAAACTGAAGAACGGTCATTCTCTTATTGAGTCTCATATGCAGGGTTTGAACCCAGGTCACCTTATGTCCACAGGATTATATACTGAATCCCTGAATTCTCGCAGTGTAAGAAAGGGTGGCCAGAGACTCATCCCCAAATTCCCATGGCCTATAGCATAATCTCCTTCATCACAAGAACTGACAAATCATCGCATTCAGTATATTGATTAGGGCCATTTCAACTTGTTGCACTGCCTGAACTTATAGAAAGGGAGCTTTTGTGACATAGTGTAGAATGTCTGCCAACATCAGCAGTTAATTGGATTTTTTTAAATGGGTGTGATTTTGGAACAGTCCCATGCCACTCCTTGCATGTACTAACTGTATGAGCATGAATTCAGTGAGAGGCATGGGTGAAGAAGGCTGACCATCAATGCCAGATCTTGAACAGAACAGCAAGTTCCTTTATGCCAGGTCAGACTCTATCCTGATACTTATTTTAACTGGTAGTGGCTTTGCAGAGTGCCATACAGACATCTTGCCCGTCACTTGCTACCTGACCATATTAAGCCACAATCCTATGTCAGCTCTGCTGGCTGGGGCATGCTGGGAGTTGCAAACCTGCTTAGAGGCATAGGAATGTGGCCTTACTGGGCTTTACCAGTGAGCCATGGTCCCGCCATAGAGCTCAGTCAAGGCTGCTGCTCTCTCTTTACTTTCATTTTTAGTGGTCAGTCCTGCAGACTGGACAGTCAATGGGAGTCCTCATAGCAATTATGGAACCATGACATCCACAGGAGGATGGCTCTAAAAGGGGATTGGACGAATCCATGGGGGAGAAGGCTATTGAAGGCCACAGAGGTTCAGTGTCTGTGTACAGAGGCTGCTGGGAAACATAGGCAGGAAACAGGCACTTATATCCTGCTGTGGGCTTCCTGTGGGCAGCTAGGTGGCAGCTGTGTGAGCAGAATGCTGCACCAGATACACACTTGAGCCAATACGGCATGGCAGTTTTATGTGCACGGTTTCATGTGAGCTTCTCCACACTTTTGGAATCAAAACAATGGGTCAAGGCAGCTAAGGTCATAATTCATGACAGCAAGTCATCATTAAAGAATTGTGCAATGAACAACTGATAAAAGGTAAATGAATATTTCTAAAAGGGCCCTTTTCTGTAAAGAAAAACAGCAACCTTATCTAGATTTTGGAAAAACAAAAATTAATTTGAAAGAAAGAGGTCAGTTTCAGTTCAGCTGTAGATCTGAG